TTGGTGAAATCACTTGAATGTTGAAGAACTCCATTAACTTGTTCTTGAATCTTTATGAGAATGTTTTATGTTTTAAAATCTTCTTGCTACTTGTAGGTTTTTATCCATGAGTTTAAAAGTATTAGTAGTGATTAGTTGGCTAATTTCTTGATTAAGTAACATATCTTAAAATTAACAAGCAAGTTCTCGTGTTAGTTTTCACTTCACATAATCACAAAACATTTTCTCCAATATGGTAGTGAAAGCATTTGACTCCTCTTGGATTTGGTGACTTTTTGGTTCCTAATGTTAGTTAATTTTCACTAATTACATGCTTAACGGAAATTGTGACTTTAACTAATGAAATATGTTATGCGCTTCTCTATCTATTTTATTAACTAAGAAGAGTCTAGGTAATCTCAAGTTTTTCGATTACTATAGCCAAATTAGATATTTAAAACGACTATTGCACTATTGGATTCTAACGATATGTTCACCAAATGTTCTAGTGTGGAAACCTTAAGTCAACCATCTCTCTTTCTCTCTCTCTCTCTCATTAATTTTACATCAAACTCTTGCTTTTGTTAAATTGTGTCTTTAAATTCTAGTTTAATTCTAATTTTCTTATAAACATTTTAAAATATCAAAACCCCCATTTTTATTTTATATTAGTTTACAAGTATTTGTACAACAAAATTTTTCATAGAAGTAACAAATTGAACCAATCTTTGTGGATTTGATCCCTTTACCATTCTACGCTATTTTGTGTACAATATTAAGGATATTTATTTTGTTGGCCTCGACAACCACCAATCAAACACGAATTAAATTGTACCCAAACTAACAAAAACAATAAACTACATGGACCAAACTCATAAATATTTAAAAAAAAAAAAAAAAAACCTTCCTAAAACCTAAAGATTATATCTGGTCAATCTGTATTCACCGTAAAACCACGTCCATAAATTCCTAATTTACTAAAATACCTCCAAAAGTCAATCTGGTCTACGCTATTTTGTGTACAATATCAAGGATATTTATTTTGGTGGCCTCGATAACCACCAATCAAACACGAATTAAATTGTACCCAAACTAACAAAAACAATAAACTACATGGAACAAACTCATAAATATTAAAAAAAACCTTCCTAAAATCTAAAGATTATATCTAGTCAATCTGTATTCACCGTAAAGCCACGTCCATAAATTCCTAATTTACTAAAATACCCCCAAAAGTCAATCTGGTCAACCCTTGGTTAAAATCAAAGCCAAGGTCAAGATCAACAGTCCATGTTAACCTAACTCATCGAGTGCAGTTCACTAACTCGTCGAGTCCTTCCAGAACTCGAGAAATCACGAAAACCCTAGTTGACTCATCGAGTTTCCAGACAACTCGTCGAGTCCATGTGTGTCCAAATGTCAGGAAAACCCTAACTGACTCGTCGAGTCGTTTTGCTGACTCGCCAAGTTCATGCAGAAACCCACAACGGCTAATCTTCATCGGACTTGCCGAGTTGACCATGCAACTTGTCGAGTCCCTTCAATCCATATCCCATTCAGATGTTTTTAAGCTCCCTTAGAGCTCCAAATCATATATCCAACTTCTTAAGGCACAAATTCCACGCAAAGTTGCAAACTTTATGTGCATGCAAGGCCTTAAAGGCTTAGAAAACTAAAACTAAGTCTAGAATGAGGTTTAGGGAATTGTGAGAGGTTCATATGAGATAAAAATGATAGCTTTATGAGTTTGAGACCTGGAGGAGTCCAGATCTGAAGTTGCAACTTCAGATCATGGCTAATACCCGAAATGGCTCACATATAGGCTAGAAATGGCTCTAAACTTAAGCATGGAGAGATCTAGCTAGAGAGAAGTCAAGATAACGACTTGTTACCTTCAAAGTGATGCCAAGATGAGGTAGAGTCGGATTCATAAGCTCTTCTTTGCTCCAAGCTCCAAACCTTCTTCACAAAATGCACCAAAACACTCTTTAAATCTCATAAACACACAAGAACAAGATCTAAACTGATTAGGGTTTCTTATGGCCATCAAGAGGTGGTAAGGGACTGAATGCAAGGGCTTAAGGCCCTTTAAATAGGGTGCAAGCCCTAAAAATTAGAGTTTCATCTTCCAGCTCCTACTCGTCGAGTCTGGGTCCTTCGACTCGTCGAGTAGGTCCAATAATCCACGCGAGTTAACCCGCCTCTACACGATAATTTGGGGCAACCAAATCGTCGAGTAGGTCCATAAACATGTACATAATGCTTTAAAACTTATACCTAGGAGTCGGGGTGTTACATGACACTCATAATTCCCTAGTCATTAGAGTGTACAAAGGAGTAAAGGTTGTGAAGAGGGTGACAAATCTCAAACCATTGTTATGTATGAAGGAAAATTTTATCAAGACTTTAACAATTCCAACTGTGTTGGAAGAGATTTACGAAGAACTGAATCCGAAACCTAAATAGGATGGTTTGAAAATCGAGACTGAAATAACCCGTTTAAATTAGTTGGTTATTTTGCTAATTTGCCAAAAAATAAGTTATTTTTTTAACTATATTTTAATTTATAACTAGTTTAAACAATATCCCCACTTTTTAATACGGTGAGCATGAGGTATTTTAGTGTGGTTACTGACTAAAACCGAATCGAATAGTGCATATATCGGTGTTTTGATTTTCAAAATCACCAAACTGATCGGTTGCGGTCTTTTTTTTTTTTCTGTTTTCGGTTTTAATCAACGCGGTTGGTTTTTTAAACCCCAACCACAACTATAAAAATTTATACTAAAGGAAGAAGTTTTGGTCTTCCAAATTAATAACGAATCAAAGTCCAAGGTTTGTATGTCGTTTTTGTTATTTTATAGAAAAAGGAAACATAATAATTTTATATCCCTCAATCGATATGAAATTAGATGTAATACAATGTAAAAGTTTGGAATTGGATCAATATAGGGATAATGACCTAAAAGGGTAATATATTTTTCGATTTGTACATATTTAGTCACTGAGTTTTTTTTTTCGTCCACATTTACCCTCTTAATTTGTTAAACTGTACACATCAAGTCATTATGACCGATTACTCCAGGTTAGCCGGGAAACATGACTTATTAGGGTAATATATTTTTCATTTTGTACACATTTAGTCCTTAATATTTTTGTACACATTTAGTCCTTAATTTTTTTTGTTTCAAAATAAGTCATTTTTTGTTTTTGTACCAATTCAATACTTATGAATGATTTATTTAAAGTTTTTCTCACGACATCTAACATTGGACTATCACTGATGACAGGGACGATTCTCTTTAGGTGCCCACAGTGGCACCGAAAACCCCAGCTTTTTCTGTACACAGTGTAAATTTTTTGATTTTTTTTTCTATTTTCTACTTACCGGCAACACCTACTACGGACCGACAACACCTACTATCAAATCCTACGTCCGTCCCTGATTGATGAGGTGTTTAGGGCTATTGATGTTTATGTTTATCGCGGCCTCGACTTCTTGGTTGCATAGGTCTTGTGGTTTAGCTTAGGTTTTGTATTTCGAACGTCGTAACTTCTTCATACGACATCTAATTTTAACGATCTTTATGTCTACGTGTTAGTTTTTTAAGTCTGCTATAACTTTCGTTAAGATTACTCCCATTTAAATATAATATGTTTTTACTTACGATTTTATAAAAAAAACATCCATAAATGCATTCATAAAAAACGTATGAATATAAAGATTGTAATTAAAAAATATATTACTTTTTAACGGGAGTAATCTAAACGAAAGTTGTAGTAGACTAAAATACAAACACATAGATATAAAGATCGTTAAAATCCGAGATAGTATGAAAATTTTATGATGTTCAAGACACATGATCTAAGCAACCAAGTAGTCGAGATCGCGATGGACATAAACATCAAAAGTCTAAAACACCTCGTTAATGATTGTTCAATGTAAGATGTTGTGAGAAAAACTTAAAAAAAACATTCATAAGTATTGAATGAGTACAAAAAAAATTGCAAAAAAAAAAAAAAAAAAAAAAAAAAAATTAAGGACTAAATGTGTACAAAAATATTAAGGACTAAATGTGTACAAAATAAGAAATATATTACTCTATTAAAATATTTTTACCGGTTAACCCGAAATAAACGGTCATAAGGACTGAATGTGTACAGTTTAACAAGTTGAAGGGGTAAATCTGAACAAAAAATAAATTCAGTGATCAAATATGTACAAATCGAAGAATATATTACCCTTTTAAGTCATTATCCCATTAATATATTTATAATTTGAGAGGAAAAATGAATTTTACTACCTAGAATGAGTAAACCACAACAACTAAAAATCAAGTAAAATAAGTTTAAGGAATTTTAACTCCAAACCTCAAATTCATATGTTCACCATCTTAACTAATTCTTGATATGCTAGTGATTGTTATAAAATTCATATGTTCACCATCTTTATTAATTCTTGATATGCGACCGATTGTTATAAAATTAAATAGATTTGTATATGATATCTGTAAATAAAATATATTTATATACAATATACAAATCGGTGCATTTTGGGTTTTTGCGGTTTTTAAAATTTTAAAATCGAAACCGGATATTTCCAAACCATTGAAATTGAATTTATGCTCGTTTTTGTTTTTTTTTTACAGTTTTTCTATTAGGGTTTGTTTTTACCGGCCTAACTTTTTATAATGGGTATCTAATACAATTATTATTTATGAAAAAAAAAAAAAAAAAAAAAAGACAAAACACGTCGACTCCTTTCTATCTAAAGTAAATGCATAGAAGTCGTCTGGTAGAGGGATTCACCATCTTCACTTTGAGGTTGTAAAAGAGGCAGTCAAAATTAGGGCTTACAACGAAATAGTTAACTTAACTATCGTCTAATTGAAGCAATGCCATGGCTTCCCACATCGGTGTCCTCAACGAAAGCTTTTGGGTTTATATTGCTCCGCCTTCGATGATAGTTCGGCCCTTCGGGGACATCCGATAAAATTGGAACGATACAGAGAAGATTAGCATGGCCCCTGCGCAAGGATGACACGCACAAATCAAGAAATGGTCCAAATTTTTTTTGCCCTAATTTGCTCGATCGATTGCTGCATTTCTTCTTCAGATGCTTTTTTTTATTCAACAGCTCCAGAAAGGTACCGCTATCGGATCCTCCTAGATTTAATTTCATTGTTGTCGCTTATCTCGCTATAAAACTTATTGATTTCTTGTTATTTGCTGCGATTTATGATGCTTATATGGACTCACATGACAAATGCTATGATCCATTGCTAATGAATGTAGATGGAATTTGTTAAGCTCCTTGTCTAAATAGTCTGGTAGAATCAGTTCATAATCGGGCATCAAATCTATTATACTACAACTTTCATCTTTAGAGGTCGCTGTAGACTGTTGTGTCCTTGAAGCTTCTGTCGGTTTCCTTTCTTCTTAATTTGAATTGGTGCAATGTTCTGGTTGTATCATGTGTGTTTAATAACAATTAACAATAACAAAATGTCTAAAGTTGCATACTTTAATGGTTTTCTGTAATGAACTAGCTTGCAATGTATAAAAGAAACTCAAGAAAACTATTGTATTGATTTTTTAAATGATGAAAAGGGATACAAGCTGAAAACTAACAGGAACAATGCAATAAGAGGAAAGATGGATAGAATTAGCAATTCGAGAAGCTAATGGTCTCCCAAGAGAAAGAAGCTTCTAATATTCTCGCATGATCCCCTCCAGGTCATTTTTGCAGACCTTATATTCAGTGATGACAACTTTTAATGACCATATTGCCCCTGTTCTGTCCCCACGATTTGGTTGTGGTCCCCCTCTGATTGCGACCCTTTTGGTTGTTTCTTCCTCCTGTAAGAAAATTGAATATGTGGGTAAACCACATTTTCATTGGTGTTTCAACAAGTATAATGATTAGTTTGGAATAAAGCTACAAATTCGATATGATAGATTAGACACATGATTCACTCCTTAATGATAATCTTGAATGCCTGATAGATTTCAACAAGTATAATGATTAGTTTGGAATAAAGCTAATTGGTTAATCTTGAATGCCTGATAGCATCAATTGATGTTGAAGGTATGCATGATGTTTTCTGACAAGTCTATGTGTTAAACTGTTAGCGTGTAAAAGGTAGGTTAATTTTTCATAAACTAGGGCCTTAATTATTAGTTGTTAAATGCACATGATATCATATCTGTGAGGTGGGTTAAAACAAGTGAACAATTGGCAATCCTTCACGAATTTTACAAGGGCAAGCTGTGGGAAATAACAACATACTTCACTTTTGACCTATAACAACATACAACATCGTAATTTAAGTTTTTTTTATTATTATTATTAAAACAATCTACTAAGAAAAATCTTATCACTTATAAATATAACATTGTACTTTCAAGTCTTAAAATTTCCCTTTTTAGGACATTAAACTTGATAAAATCTACCGAATTATAGCAACGAAAATTTCCTTGTATTAATGACAACACTATAATTAGGTAGAAGTTTCAAAGCTAATGTGGAAATATGTTGCTATTTCTTGCATTTAACCCAATATTTGTTGTTTTACATCTTTTTAAATAAATCCTACTTTTTCTTACATGATCAGATGATTAAAACCAACAAAACTTTTTACAAAATTATATATTTTTTTTATCTAGAATGTTTTCAACTAACTTGCGAAAGCAATGCCTGTCATTGTGCTTTATTTTTATATATTGTTACTTCTAACATTGTTTGTTTTGTATTGTTTTTTATTTAGTGATCTAGAAAAGACAAACACAAATGACTTTAAAAGAATTTTGAAGGATAAAGGAGCAGAAAACGAGGCATCCAAACAAACAACTTATAAGGATTAATATCTTTGTAGTTAGGGGTGGACCCAAAAAACAAATTGTTGGGGTCAAATTTTTTTAGCAGATGGACATTTCTCTGAAACCAATTTTTGATCAAATTATTTATTTGATGTAAATTTAAACCCTTCTTGTTTACTAAATCTGAAAATTTTATATATTATCTACAATCTTTACAAGTATAAGGGTTTGTAGATGTTTTTAGTATTTGAATAGAAGGTGCAAATCCATTATGCACACTCACTTTTCCCACATCGACCAATAGTGAAATCTTGAATGTTTGATAGAGATTATTAGAATGTGGGAAGTTTGAAGTTAAAGTTTAAAGGCTTTATTTCTATCTTTAATAAGTTTCGAAGGGACATTTGAAGAGTTGCTGTTGAATTATAATTTTTTTAACGATGATTAGAGATGATCTTTTATGAACATGATTTTTGTTTCTTTCGTTTAGATCATCTACATGATTAGCAACATAACATTAACACAAAAACCCAAAAAGTATTTAGGATGCCACGTCACCAACATTTGAGATCGTTGCACCCATGAGGCTACCTCAACGGGTGACATGGTTTTCATGGTCTATCTGTGAGGGAAAGTGACATTAACAAAGATGTGAAAAATGAATGGTTTATTTTCATTATACAAAATATAGATAGGATAGATATTTTAGCATTTGTACGTATATATAAATAGGATAAGATAATATGAGATGATATGATACAAAGAAAACCACATATGTTAGTGCATACTTCATTAAATGTATGAAACTTTGATATATGTAAATTATATGACTTAAATATATCTTTTTTAGAGCAGAAGGAAAACTAAAAGGCTTAGTAGATAAGAATCACATACAAACTATGGGGTTTTAGATATATCAATCATTTATTATGGTGTACAAAATTGTGGCGGAGGTTCTTGCCAATCGAATTACAATATGAACGATGAGCGATTGGTTTGAAGTTTGAACTCTGAAGACGTTCGTTGTTTTCTTTCTCTATTCGAATCGATCTAACCTAATCTTTGTTCTTGCGATATCCCTCCTGTTCTTGTTATTGTTCATCGACAAATTTCCACCGACAAATTAAGCGACCTACGGACCTCCGACCTGTTTATTGACCTCCGGTGAGTGCTACTGGTTCTCTACTTGTGTAATTATCGTCGACTTTGATAGTATCAGTAATTATTTTGACTTATGGACCTGGTTTTTTGCTACTGTGTTACATTGACTCAACTTCATTACTTTATTACTTGATTTGCTTCGCTTTCTGGTTTTTTTCTACTTCGCTACTTGTGTAATTTAACTATTAAAGCCTCGAATTTCATTCATTAATGGCGTATTTTGTTTACACCGCCGCCTGTACCCACCATGGCACCATCCATCGCCGCACACCACCGACACCAACAAACACCTATCTACGACCACTACTCACCCACCCTTCACGCCGAAAGTTAATTCTTGGTTGCAATTTGTGCGTTGCTTTGCTGATATTGACGATATGATGATGCTCTGTTTTGTTTGCTACCTCAACTCTCAAAATTATGATTAAAGCGCATCGCTATTATTGTTGAGCAATTCCCACTTCATGTGTGGGTTTCTCTGAGAAATCCTCATGTTCCGGTGCTCAAAATTTATGTGATCATGTCCAAAGTTCATCATAGCTTACACATGAGTTTGCCTAGCCAAATTTTTTTTCTTACAAAGACTATAAACAATGTGTCAATAACAAAGATAGAAGTCATATAACACTAGTGGCTTCTTATAGGAAGGAGTTTGAAAAAAATGAAGTAGTATTTGTGTAAAATAAAATAAAGTCATATGATCAATAAAAGATCACACCCCATGAAGTAACAAAGCTCAGTTTAAAGTCTGAAGAATATTATCTCTATGTCATTCAGGTAGCTAAGGGGAAATGAAGACTTCCACATCTTCTTCCCTGTAAGTTATAATATGAATGAATATCTCACTTTTTCATCGAATTACATGTCTAAAATATCATCTCCTGTATTGTTGTTGTTTTCAGATGTGCTATCATTCCTGTAAATTGCATTTTAAATTGTTCAAATCAGCTAGCTTACCCTTGCAGTTTCAGTTTGAAGTTATCAAGAGGTTCTTAATCTCCTCCTATTCAATTCCCAATTCGAAATGAAATTAGGGTTTTCAGATTTACCCTAGTATCATTTCATTTACATGTGTAAGACTAATTTCTTACAGGAAACAGAGTGCTCAAAGTTTCTCAATTGAAGGCTAGCTTTTGGGAATCCATTAGATCTGGGTAAATACTAAACACAACTCTTTCTTATTCTTTTTACAAGAGTTTCATAATCTTTAAAATAAACACTCAAAAATATTATATATTTATATCCCAAACCAATTTATGACATCACAGGTTGATAAAGAACAACTCTACACAGGTTATAGAACCACCTTCTTCCACTCCACAAGAAGATGAAGAACAAGAACCTCTACCTGAGGAATTTGTACTTGTTGAAAAAACCTTGCCAGATGGCACAATTGAACAGATTATCTTCTCATCTGGTGGAGATGTTGACATATATGACCTTCAATCCTTATGTGATAAGGTAATTTCATACATGGATTCTTAATTAGTTAATTTCCCATCTCAATATGTCATTTTATTATTATTATTTTTTTTTATAAGGTTGGGTGGCCTAGAAGACCACTATCAAAGCTAGCAGCTGCACTAAGAAACAGCTACATGGTAGCAACACTGCATTCCATAAAGAAATCAGCAGCTGGAGAAGGTTATATATATTTCTTGAAATTTAAATCTGTTTTTGTTATTTATATTAAGGAATAATGACAAATACAAATACTTGGCAGAATTAGATAATGAGAAAAAGCTGATAGGAATGGCTCGTGCCACATCAGATCATGCGTTCAATGCAACAATATGGGATGTCCTTGTAGATCCTAGCTACCAGGTATATATAATATATTAGAAAATATTGAAGGTTAATATAATTTTTATGTGATTGGGTTTAATATAATTTGTTTTTGTGATAGGGGCAAGGTTTGGGGAAGGCTTTGATTGAGAAGATTATAAGGGCTCTACTTCAGAGAGACATTGGAAACATAACACTGTTTGCAGATAGTAAAGGTATGTTATATACTTATATGTATGTATATATGTATGTATACACTATTGATTGTGTGGAAGTGGATTTAGTTTAATCTTAGAGAGATTTTGGGTTGTTGTTGTTGTTATTGCAGTTGTAGAGTTTTATAGGAATCTAGGGTTTGAAGCTGATCCAGAGGGCATAAAGGGTATGTTTTGGTACCCAAGGTTTTAGATGAAGGGGGAGGTGATACTTGATACTTGATATTACTCAAAATGGTATGTATGTGTAATGTGTATGTATGGATACCATTTCTCATCCTTTTAATAGGGTTCAAAACAAGCTCAAAATGCACATTTTTCCCACCATGTAAAATTACATGCATGATGATGCTTCATGAAGTTTTATTGTAGCCTAAGACGTTTGAAGTTATTGAAAGATGTAAAAAGTTTGTGCAAGTTGTTTGTTTTCTAATTATATTGATTAGAAGGTTAACACAATTTTTTGCAACCTCGGTTGTCACTAACACCATTTTCCCACCACTTGCCTAAGGAAATAACCATTTTTTAAAAAGTTAATATAAAATTGAGAGAGGGAGGGAGGGACCATGTCACTATAACATGTTGAACGGCACAAAATTTATGTCAAATAATAACACACAAGCAACATGTAAATATATTTTATTTTTTAGACACGATCTTCAATCAATTATTTGATTTCTTCCATAAAAATGATATAATTTTTTTTTTATATCGAGCTATGTTCAACTGATATATTGTTTTTAACGTCAGAACGGAAATTTTTAATATTTTTTTTCCAACTTATACATTTCATAAACTAGACTTACATTTTTAATAAAAATAACTTTATAAATGAAATTGTATTTATACTTATAAACAAAAAAGATCATTCAAAAATAAATAATTTCAAGTTCATTATCATATTATCAAAATAATCATTTTATTAAAACGTATCTATGTTAAATTCTAAACATAAAAATTGATCTTAGTATTTTTTTACTCAATACTTTTGATTATAACTTAGTTATCACAATACAATGAATCAGAAAACAGACATGCAATAAGTTTTGTCGCTAAGCCTTTTTGTATGTTAAAACCAATTCTTTTGAAGACTATATCTATATATCTAGGGGATATAAAAGTGTTATGCATGATATGTTGTACTCTATTAAGAAGCTTCACCGCATCTAGTGTGACAAACCAAACACATCAAACATAAATGATACGAACACATATTGATTTTTTATGCATGGTTTTTCATTTTTTGTGACTTTGCATCTAGCAGCTTTTAAAACAGACTGTCTCACTTAGTGTGTGTGGGTATATATATATATATATATATATATATATATATATATATATATATATATATATATATATATATATATATATATATATATATATATAGGAGATAGTTCAAATAAAAACCATAAACAGTGTCAGAATGTAAAAACACTATTTTTATATTATTATTCTACAATGAATTTTTTATCCACAACTTTATGTCATTATTCAACAAAGAATAAATAAATTGTCACAGATAAAAACTAAATTTAGAATTCACTACAAAAATGTACATACATAACTTTACGATAGAATAATAGCGTTGTAATGATTATATGACTAATTAACAATTAATATTCATATTAAAATTACTTCAACAATACACATATACAACATTCATTACAGAATAATAAAATAAATCTAGTATTTTTATGTTTCACACTATTTATTGTTTTCATTTGAACTTACTTTTCTCTCTCTCTCTCTCTCTCTCTCTCTCTCTATATATATATATATATATATATATATATATATATATATATATATATATATATATATATAATTTATAATATTATTATTAGAATTAAGTTACTATTATGAGTAAAATAACGAGTATGTCGAGTAAAAATAAATTGCATTAGGGAGGAGGGAGTCGTTCCCATTGAACCCACCGAACCCACTGCCACATCAGTTTTTCACTTTGATTTTTCTTCATCTTTTCGAACCCACAACACACGGAAATCCTATATTTCTCAACCCACTCAATTAAAAAATATATATACAAAATAATCAAGGTAAAATCTTAATTAGCAATAGAGTTACCGTCGGTACCACTTCCTCTTCGACGTGTTGTTTAATTGGTTTCACGAACCCACTTCATCCTCTTTCTCTACTTTCTCTCTCTCATTTTCTCTTGTACCATATGTTTTAAGGGATGAGGGAGTCGTTCCCACTGAACCCATTGCCATATCAGCTTTTCTCTTTGATTTTTCTTCATCTTTTCCAACCCACAACATGCATAAATCCTATCTTTCTCAACCCACTCAATTAAAAAAAATACTAAACAATTAATGTACAAGTCTTAAAACACATGGTACATGAGAAAATGAGAGAGAGAAAGTAGATAGAGATGATGAAGTGGGTTCGTGAAACCAATTAAACAACCCGTCGAAGAGGGAGTGGTACCGACGGTAACTCTATTGCTAATTAAGATTTTACCTTGATTATTTTGTATATTTTTTTAATTGAGTGAGTTGAGAAAGATAGGATTTTCGTTTGTTGTGGGTTCGGAAAGATGGAGAAAAATCAAAGAGAAAAACTAATGTGGCAGTGAGTTCGGTGGGTTCAATGGGAACAACTCCCTCCTCCCTAAGACTTGTACTTTAGTTGTTTAGTATTTTTTTTTAATTGAGTGGGTTGAGTAGGTTGAAAAAGATAGGATTTTCGTGTGTTGTGGGTTCGGAAAGATGAAGAAAAAATCAAAGAAAAACACTGATGTGGCAGTGGGTTCAGTGGGAACGACTCCCTCCTCCCTTATATCATCCATAAAGAAATATAAGTTTATCGATAAAGGGGTGTTTGACTTATTTTTTTGAGACAAAAATCTTTTTTGGAAAAGATAAAATATAAAAGATGTTTGGTAAAAAGATTTTAAAAACTACTTTTAGATTTTTAATATAAGAAAAACATGACTTTTTGTAATTTTTCCAAAAATGATTTTTGCCTCTAAAAAAGATAAACCAAACACCCCCTAAATATCTGACTTTTATGACTATATAGTACAAAAAAAACGTTGTCCATAAGCAAAGATTCAATTACATTGCTATTCTTGTCTGCCAAAGAATGTTCGACAGTTTTTAAGAGAGAAAATAATCATATAACACCTACATTTATATCATAAATTCTAGGACCTTGTCTCAAATGCATTGGACTTTTCACTGGACTATGATCAATATGACAAAAACTATTAACTTTTTATCCCACCCAAAAAACATGGAACAAGACATGACATAGACTCATCACCAATCTCTCAATCATGCAAAAGACATAAATACCCTCATTGGCCCCGTTGGGTGTAACATGACTAAACAAGCTTTCTAGGCCTAACATAACCAATATGAAGATACAAAAAAAAGGTCTTGATAAAAATATTAAATCAAAACTCAAATATCAAAACACATTGGAAACGAAATAAAAGATAGATACATAGTTTAAGTTTCGTTTCATTTCATCCAGCTGTATTGAAGCTAACAGACTTAACAATAGTACTGACCCTCTCAGCAAATGTCTTGGAAGTTATCTTTTTACCAGGGACATGAAATGGGTTTGACACAGCGTCTAAATATGCAGAATGAAACCTTCTAAAAAACTGTTCCAATCACATAAAAAAAATGTTAATATTCACTTTCTTTTTCACTTATCTGTCTGAACAAATCATGTTTTCAAAAAAAGTTTATATGCACTTACATTTCTTACATCTGCATCACGGACATCAAGGTCAGTTGTGACTAGGATAAACTTAACCTTTGTGTTGGTTAGATAACCATACCTGCCCACAAAATGTAACCCTAGTTAAGGACAAGTACGTGTACCTTGTAAAAAGTGTTATCGTAAAGAAGGGAGGTCAAATTTCTTGAAAAAATCAATGGGAAAACAAGAATGACATGAAAAAATATGCTCACACTTTGTAATTTTCAGTTGGATATAGAAGACCAAGAAATGTCTCATTTATCATTGGTCCAGATTTTTTTGGGTTGTTCACTGCAATACAGAGATGAGAATCAAATTAATATTGACCACAGACGTAAATTGCTCTAAAAAAATACCAGATAAAAAAATTATATACATTTTGGAAGAAGAAAGCGAGAAACACAAGCACTAAAATGTCTATACAAAGTGCATTTCTTAAAGATAATAAGTAGAAATGTTGACCAATTTTTGTGTAGCAACTATTGAAATTTACAAACTTTATAGATTCAATGCAAGAAATAGATACATAATCCGTGATGTTTTAGCCAGAACAGGATCAAAACAGTGAGTTTCAAGTTCAAATACTTGGATCAAACAGTTAAAGAGTATAGAAACTGAAGGGTAATTGTATATACAAAGAATCAAGGCTCAAGATGAAGAAAAAAAGTAAGTGTCAAAGACAATTTGACAATTTGATGAATGTAAGAGTACAAATTAAGATTTGAAAGAAATTAGGAACCTACATCTTTAACATTTGAAATTTTCAAATGAAAATTTTGTAAACACTTAGGTTTGGAAGGAGATCGCATCATCCTGATGGCAATCCTAACGCAATGACAGAAGTTCCGATCTAGAATCCCCAATCAACGTTCTAATAAATCAAATCTAGAATCATCTTCCAGTTTCAGAGTTGGAAAGAGCAAATTCGAAACCCTAAAAACTATATTTTGCACAAAAGGAAATGATGGAATATAAACTAGGCATTATTTTCATAATCGCTATAAAATACCTCTTTCATCAACAACATCGAGAGAACAATGAACTATATGATGAAGCTTGAGCGCATCATCTGCTTCAGTGAAGCTCTGTATGTACAATGGATTATTCTGTACTTCCCAATATGAAAATAACGAAGCAAATTATCAAACAATATACGCCAAATTCATGAAATTACACACAAAAATAAGTAAATCGAGCATAATCAAGCAGAACCTGATGGCCAACAACGGCGATGCAAACGATCATCTTCTCCGTCACCGATCGAGATTTCCACTTCTTATTGATCCGATTGACCCAAACGCACAGCGGGTTCTCTTTGAGTTTAGTTGTCGCCTAAATACAAAAATGGCCCCTAAACTTACTCTTTTCATAAATTAAGGCGCCTCAACTTTATTTTTTTCTTCCAAAAAAAAGTGACGGAAACTTGTATTTTCCATCAAAAAGGATTTACTTGGATAAAAAGTGAACATAATTAACATTTCATTCGTTTTAAAAAAAAGGTAATATTTGGATTTGAATTAATATTTAATTTAATAAACAAACTCAATTACCAATAAAAAATCCAAAATATATTGATAGGATTAGGGCTGTTAATCGGATCAACCCGATCGGGTTTCGGGTTAAACGGGTCGGGTTAATCGGGTTTTCACAAAAAATAATTTAACCCGACACCCGACCCTATTAAGGTATGAGTTGGTCGGGTTCAGGTTAATAGGGTCGGGTTAGTCGGGTTAATATACTAAACACTTAATTTAAACATAATATATATGGTTTTTTCAAGAGTGCAATCTGATATAAATCCAAACCATTTTTTTACTCTTTTCTTAACATCTAGAATGTATACAAATTGAAACAAACTAAAAATAAAAGATCATGGACCTCATGGTTATTACAACATACCAGAAAGCATGCATACCACAATAGCTAAAAAAGTTCTTCCATTATAAATATTAAATAGATGAACTTTCAATCTCTTGTTAACGATCAACACCATGTACTTTATTCATGTTTTTAGTTAGTTTAAAGTAGATTTAACTATCAAAATAAAATCTTTACTTTCTCAGTCGTTCCAGTAATTTTTAGATGTGGAGGTTTTATATCTTTTTAGACTTCAACTTCACAAATGGGAGTTACTTGACCCTCGTATGCTTCTAGAGTCACAAAAATTTACATTTCAAAGGATTTGTAGTCTTTTTGTATAGTTCAAGTAGAGAGCAGTGGAATATGTAAAGGTTGTGAATTCCTAACCGGGTTATTCGGGTTGACCCAAAACCCGAATTTTTTGTAAAAATCAACCCTAAACCCGATCCTAACTACAAGACGGGTTAACCCGAATAATCCGATTTGGAATTCTAACCCTATTGAACCCGACCCTAATTACTTTATTCGGGTTAGGGTCGGATCGGGTTAATCGGGTTCGGGTTTTTTTGACACCCCTAGATAGGATCTACAACTAATTAGGCGTGCACATACTTTAGCAGAAATTACTAAACCAGATTAATTTGATCAATTTTAAAGTTTATAAGAGAGCTTGTTGATTTGGATTTTTTTTATTGAAATATTTTAAAATTGTAGTGTCACAATCTTTGTGGGATACAATATTTGATCAAAAAAATAACTTCATTTTGGCACTGGTCCTGTCGGTTGAATTGTATGTATTTTGCATTTTTTGCAAATTTTTATATAAAAAAGAAAAATATAAATAAAACTCTTATATTATTTTCTTGGTAAGAAAAAAAATACATTATCTTTTACCTATTGATCTTCTCAAATTTTCCGATGAAAAACTATTAAGGTTATGGGAGTGGTCACATCCAAGCTACCGGAAAAGCGTTATCATCTTAGTGTCACGTCAGCTCCACCACTAACCCACTAGACATTGAAAATGATTACTACTCTATAATATATATATATATATATATATATATATATATATATATATATATATTAACATTAAATTAAATAAAAACACAATTTATAACATAAATAAATATTTTGTATTAATTAAAACCACATTACATTAATTAAAAATATATAAAGTTACACCTAAATTATTTAAAAAACATAAAAAAAAAAAAATTAGAAAGTTAAAGCTAAATTACTAAAAAAAAACATAAAAAACGAAATTTGAAATTAAAAAGCTATCCATTTTATAGAGAACATGTGTTTGTTGTGTGTAAAAATATGTGTAAAATGTGTGTATATATAGAGATTAATTTAAAAATGATTTTTTTATAATTGTTTCCAACGGCTACAAACCCACAACATGCAAAACATTCGAACCTGACACATCTTCAATCTCATTGGTTGTCTTCATCCATCTTTGCATCCACTCCACAGCTAAATCATCAGTCGTTGGGTCGGTGTTCACAAATCCTTTGGGATGCCACTTAAGCTTCCACACCCGGGTTTCTATCCCACTTTGGATAGCCTAATCTTTTTCGTTTAATTAATGTGTTAATTAAATGTGATGTGGACCATGACATTGATATTTATGATATCTGTTGGCCTCTAATAATGTATTTGTAGGTAAAAGCTAACATAAAAAGATAAACGACACATAATTTCTTCCTCAGTTGCATAATAGATACAAAATAGATAGGTAAAATATAATGTGCCTTTTTTTTTTAACGGAACAATTATATATGATATATGGGGTTTCCGAATATAATTATATATAATAAACTTGTGGTTTTTTTCTATATTTTGCCCTTTAGAACGGCTTATTTATTTTTTAAATACTGTTTGATAAATAATTAAATACAAATGGGCTTTCAACTATTTCTCTAAAGTCTAAGCCAACAAAGTCCAGCCCAAGAATATAACATAACTTGAGACTTCCGACAACCAGTCTTCTTCTACCTTCACTCAGACAAAACCCCCATCCAAAACCCTGATTCAGGGCCAAATCAGTTTGATCTTCGATCGCCAATGGCCGGAGGTCGATTTCGCGAGCTACTAAAAAAGTACGGCAAGGTGGCGCTAGTTGTACACTGTTCCGTCTCAGCCGCCAGCATTACCGGATTGTACGTCGCCATAAAGAACAATATCGACGTCGAATCAGCTATGGAAAAAGTTCGTTTCAAGCAACTTGAATCCGTTCTCGAAAAATTCGGCATGAGCGGTCCAAAGGAAGTAGAAGTAGATACTGCTACAGGGTTTCCACAATCAAATCAGGAATCAATGGATGAGGCGACGAAGCCGAGGAATCGGACGGCTGAGCTCGCGGCGTCGAGCGGCGGAGCATTGGCGTTAGCGGTTCTTTGTAATAAGGCTCTGTTTCCGGTTAGAGTTCCGATCACCATTGCTCTCACACCTCCGATTGCTAGGTTTCTAGCAAGGAGGCAGATCATTAAAAATAGTTTATGATGAATATGATCTTCTCCTTTCTCTTTAGTTAAGAAAAATGCATACAATTTCTTCCATTGATACCAGGTTATATGGATCGATATTGTTAGAAATGCATACGCTTACTGCTTACATGATAGGTGATTAATAAGCAATTATACATTTCCTGAATTGCATTCAACTTTAAGACATTTGTTTTGAAGATATATATCATGATTGTATCCCTAATTCGTCAGAAACTTTCCATATCTTAGTGTTCTTGTAATTTGATAGTTTAAGCTAAGCAACATTGGTGCTTCAAAGGTTAAATGCTTTATTCTTGTGAACATGTAGCTTCTTAGTTCTTATTAGACTTGGTGTTCTGAACTGTTTACTGTCTTCAAGCTTTTAGACTTCATTTCTGCCCTTGTCTTTGTAAAATTAGGGATAAGACTTGAATCTAGTTTCTAGGGTTGTAAAATTAGTTATTCAGGGGGTCAATCATGGAGTATCAAATAATTAGATTTGGAGAAGAGGATAACAAGTTGCTTTAAGAAACCTGCTATTGGTTTATATGTAAAATTAGCTAAATTATGCTTCCTTTAATAAATATTTTTTAGTGTCCGATGGAATTAAAATAAAACATGCTTATTGACCTTAATAATCAGTTTTTTATTTACTTCTAACTTATTTAAAAGTGTTTATTATTTAGACAAAACTAGTAATTGAGCCCGCACGTTGCCGCGGGATTTTACGTGTTTTTATTGCGAATTAGGAAAGTAGAGGAGGAAAAATCATATTATGGGCATGTTTGACATGGAATGTTTGGAAGCCTCTAGCATTAGACAAAACGTTCTGTTTTGAACAAAAAACTTCGTATGACACTATAAGTTTTTAGGGTTTAGTTTAAACAAAATGTTTCAAATTTAAAATATATTACGTAGCATTTAACAAAACGCTATCAGCTACCTGCTACCTGCTATCAACATGTTTTGCCTAACACACCCTATATATATTACGGGGACGGGGATATATATACGCAAGTTTAAAAAATCAAGGGATGAAAGTGGCATATTACAAAGTTGAATTTGGAAGGGGTGAAAGTGATTTTAAAAAGTAAAGAGATAAAAAAAATTATCACTTTAGAAAATATAGGGGCTGCAAGTGACGGATTATATAAAATTGATGGATTAAATTTGTAATGAACATATATGAACATAAAAGGAACTTAAATGAAGGAACACGAACATAAAAATACGTAAACGAATAACATAAGGGGTGTTCACGACCATAATTGAACGAAAAATACTATTGTTCATGTCCGTTCATTTAACTAAACGAACAAGAATTTGTGTTTATGTTCATTCTTTTATTAAATAAACGAACTTCTTGTTGACCAGTTCGTTGAATTTTTGGTCCGTTTACAGCCATATATATGTTTTTCTTAAATATGAAAAATATCATGTATGCTCTTCTTAAACATCAAAATATCAATGTTTATATTTAAAATATCATCCATCTACAACATCACAATATCCTACAACAACAAAAGCTAAGCAATCAATGCATACATTTATTTGTTGTGTAAGTGGCATTCCAACAATTTAGAAGTAGATGTTTCATTATTATAGACTTAGTGTAATATGGTTTAATTTTTTAATTATTATAATAATTCTAAGATATAAAAAATAATCATAAACTATTAAAAACATTATAAAAAGGATTTCGACAATATGAAAATTTAAAGGTTTAGACATATTAAGAAATTAAGTTTAACAAATATGATATTTTGAAAATTCCCCATTTGTTCTAAGACCATTAGACTTGCTAGCACCGGACATTTTCGGTGATTTAGGTGGCATTTGAGGGTGGGTGGCTACACCATGCCTTATTGCCTAGGGATCCCGAGTAGGAACAAACTCTTTTTCTCTCTCTCTCTCTCTCTCTCTCTCTATATATATATATATATATATATATATATATATATATATATATATATATATATATATATATATATTATTGTTGTGTTATTCAACCCAATAGATACATGTAGATTTTTTTTTCAACATAAAGTAGTTATTTTTATTTGTTTGGAATGACGAAATTTTATTAAAAAACTAGCAAAAAGTTAGAAAAGAACCATTACTAAGAGAATTTAAAACAAGGTTTTATAACCACGAAACCCAATGAATTTTAGCTTTACTATACATATTGAAATTCGAAAAATAATTAAACACTTATTTATATTGGAGTACATAACCTTTTTGCTTATTTTTATTAAGCACTTCATATATATTTAGTGATCAATATAGTTTAATCTTTTACACATTTAACCCCCTCATTTTCTACTCATATTTTATTTTACCCCTTAAGTATATTTAGTTTTTAATTAATTTATTTATTACTAGGTAACTAATTCTATCAAATATTTAATAATATTTTATTTATGAAATATAAATTTATAATGATAATCTTAATTAAAATAGTTTGTATTAAAATATAATATATGTTTTAAAATGACTTAACTAAATGGAAAAGATTATGTAGAAAATTTTAAATAAATAATTATAGATTAGTTAAATTTAAAGAAAAAGTTGTTGGAGGATGTTAACCATTGGAGATGTGATTTAATTAGATGTTAAATGTAATGGAATGATGAGATATCAATAATATTAAGTTATAATATATGTTAACCATTGTAGATGTTCTAATAACAAAATGTAAAATTATATTAAAATAAAAGTCAGAAGCTCTAAAAAACTAGCTAGAGTAGTTTTCAATAAATAAATTTTTTATTTTCTTCTTTGATTTGTACATATCAAGGTTGTCAAGATCGGGATCCTACCTAGGATCGATTTTGGGTTTGCAAGATCGGGATCGTAAGATCGGGATCGAGATCTTAAGATCCCACAAAATAGAATATAATTTTAATTTATAATATTTAATCATGAAAACTATTTCAAACATTTAGTTTTTCATTCAAAAGTTATAAAAACTTCAAAATATTAATCATAAATCACAATAAAAAATGATAAATGGTAGATTGGTAAAGGATAAAAGGCATAAAGTGGTAAAAAAAATTTCATTTGCAAAAAAAAAAAAAAAAAAAATCAAAGGAAGGTAGGATCGGATCGGATCTCGATCCTACGATCCTACCTACGATCTTACGATCTTACCTGCGATCCTACCCCAAATACGACCCTTTTACGATCCGGATCGTTTTTCATACCTAGGATCGTAGGATCGTACGATCCTACGATCAGGATCGCGATTTTGACAACTATGGTACATATAAATATAACATATTTATAGTTATCGTACAAGAATCAATTTTATAAATGAAAGAATCACTCTATTTAAATAAAGGGAAAATAACTTATGAGAGTAATCATCTTTTTCACTTTGTTCACATTTAGACAATTTTTTTGTACTATTTTGATCACATATTACCATTGTCATCGGCTATCTCAGGTAACAATGATAACATGTAGCACATTTAACATGTTAGATACTTAAATATACACAACAAAACAGAAATTGTTTAAATGTGAACAAAACGAAAAGTTAATTACCTTGATAATGTTATGGATTATTATTTAGTGAATGACATATACCTCCATCACTCTCCATATAGTTATGCAAATGTTGGATATTTATCTTATCAACATAAATCTAGATTCCAAACAAGTTATTTATTTACTTATGGAGGTACGATATTTTTTTGGCGTTATGTTAAACAAAATTTATTTGTTGCTTATTTTAACCATGCATAGATTATAAAAATTCATGAGGCAAGCCGTAAATGTATTTGGTTAAGAAATTTAACTCAACACAGTGGCAAGAATTATGGTTTGACTTCTAATAGGGATGTTCTAACTTTACTATATAAAGAAATGTGGCTAGTATATCCCAATTTAAGGAATGTTTTATTAAAGGAGACAAAACTAAACATATATCACCAAAGTTCTTTTTCACTAATGATCTTCAAAAGGAGTGTGACATTAACATCCAGAAAATCTAATCGAGTAACAACTTGGCCTATTTAGTCACTAAAGCACTTCTTACATCCAAATTTGAAAAGAAGTTACGAAACATTGGTATGAGGCACTCCAAGGAAATCAAGTGATGTGTCCATCAGGGGGAGTTGAAATATTGTACTCTTTTCATTAGCAAAAAATTTTCCCACTGGGTTTTCTTAGCAAGGTTTTTAATGAGACCATTATTCCAATGTCTATTATTATTTATGTACACTTTTTCCTTAATAAGGGGTTTTTTCCATGAGGTTTTACCGATTATGGTTTTAACGAGGCATAATACAATCGTCATTCAAGGGGGAATATTATAAATTATTATTTAGTGAATAACTATTGGATTCCTCATATTCCCCCCATCATTCTCCATAATTAGTGAACATTATAACAAACATTATTATGAGTTTTATAAGTGTAGTTATGCACCACTATAATAAGCATTCATAACATATCTCACATTTCATCTTCTTTGTCTAGTATAAATAATGAGTATTATATATTGTAAATGTTGGTTGTTTTTACCGCAAGTATTGAAGTAAAGTTCTTTACAATCTTGTTTCCTATTTTGTTCTTTGAATTAGCTTCATATTTATAACAAATAAGTCCTTATCCCCACTTTTTGGAACACCCAGTTTCTAGAACATATCTATTTAGGGCATCTAGGAGTCAAAGTCATGATTTTTGTGTAAAACTAGGTGTCACGACGTGACCATAGAAAGGTCACGAAGTGACAAGCGAATAAATGAAAATGTGGATTTACTTGAGCTCATGACGTGAGACATAAGGGCTCACGTCATGAGAATTGTTGCATCCTAAGCCCACGATCTTTTAGGGTGCCCTGCGTATTTAAGCCCCTCTAAGTCATTTTTAGGGTTCATTACCAGCTTCCTTCGTCCTCAAACAGAGAAAAACCCTAACCCTAGCCTCTCCTTGTGATTCTTGAGCTTTTGGTGGCTTGAAGAAGAAGGGATCACCTTTGGAGCATAGATCCAACTTGGAAGCTTCATTTGC